CACCTTTTCCAGGAGGATTGCCCATACCTCCTCTCTCTCAGTGTCATTATCACTCACGAATTCAGGAAAACAGCACGATCTTCCTCTTCTCCCAGCACTCGTTCTTCTTCCGTGGCTACTGGAGTCTCCATGGCACCAGCATACGCGAGAACGCTAGCCACAGCACCACTTGGACAATCATCAACGTCATTCATATCCCATTCGGCCCTCACTTGTTGTGCTGCAGCGAGTAATTTTTCAGGACTGTAACCTAGTTTCTCCATTACCCACTTTGACAACAGTAAATCACCCACACCTGGTGGTAGGCTACCCTCTGTCACCCAAAAGATAACATTTCGTAGAACCAATGGGCCTCCGGGTGTCGAAAACCGTAGATCCAGCTTCACTTTGCTCTTTACCGGTACTGGTTTATCGCCCACTCCCGTCACAGCTGCATCTCCAGTGACATCCTTTTGGTTTAGCCACGCTCCTTGAGCTACTAGTCTCTTTAGTAGCTTTTAGTGACGATCGAAACCTCTGCAGCACTATCTGGGGTGATTTCGGTCTCCAAAATATCCGTCGACGGCTGCGTCGCCAGTTTGGACTCTACAGGAGCCACCGCCAAGATTGGTTTTAGGACCTTCTTCTCAGTAGTTGGCTCGTAAATCTCCTTAGCCTCCAATGGACTTGCGATATCAGGACACTGAAACACTCCATGGGTCGGATCACCACATTTGAAACACTTCTTCGGCAATTTAACTCGGCTACTTTTCTGCTTGGAATTTTGGTCACTTTTCTTTTGTTGGTGAGCGTCAGCTCTTTGAGCTTTACTATCATTCCGAGACCGTCCGAAGTCTCGTTTCCCTGGATTAAGCTGATGAGCTGACTTATTCCCACCCTTCGGCTGGGTTGGCTCCGCTATATGAGCTTTGAACCGCATAAACCCTTCCAATTCCCCTCTCAGCCACTTCAGAAACGTAGCCAGATCCGACTTGGTCGATTTGTGGCATTGGCGGCTCAACTGGTCTTTTACGGCAGCCCTAAACGGGTGCGTAGTGCATCCACCAAATATCCCACGACCTTTTTAGGCTCAGTATGAACGACGTCTTCCATGTTGAGTCGGTCAATTATCTCGTAAAATTCGGCCATCAAACGAGAAAGTCTGGACTCAGCATCTTGTAACTCAATGTCCATGCAAAGAGTTCTCACCTCTTTTTTCAAGAGTCTTATACACTGTATTATCAGGTACACGCGCGGTCAAAAAGTAATCTCTCCACTCGGCCTCCGTGACGTCCTTCTCCTCTTTGAAAAGCTCGAAACCGCAAATCCGAGCAATCGTGCCTTGCTCAATGCAAGCACTGAGAGGCATCACGAAAAACTTGGCCTGTGTTCCTTGATTCAACGCTTGGATGCGCCGTGTGTAGATCGCGTAACTATCCATAAAGTCTCTTTTTTCTTTTTTTAGAGCTTCCTCTATAGATTGGTGGTACAGGCAGGTTGGTCGATTTTCCGGTGGTTGTGCTGCACCTTGAGCGAACGCGCCCCACCGAGCCTGCAAGTGAGGCTGGACAGCCTCGGCCAAGCTCTCGAGTCTCTGACCTTGAATACCAACCAGCAAGTTGATCTTGCTGGCGTTGCACCTGGCCGATTTGCTCGGCAGCCCTTTGATGTGCTGCCGCTGAATGATGTACCAGGGCTTCTACTTGACGTCTCGTCTCACTCCCCTAAATTACCGCCCTCCTGGCAGTCGTCTCCTGCGTCAGCCGCAGTTCGTGCTCGGTCATAGGAGGCAGTGGGGGGGGGGGGGGTAGACTGCCATGGGCATCCCGCCGACGGAGACTTGTACCATCGCTTCGTCAGGTTCTTCCATACTGGGAGCGACTTCCCAGCTAAAGAATTCTTTGTTGTGTCGCTCCAATGAAAATGTAGAAGTAAAGATGTATTGAGCTTCTTGGTAATATACCCTATTCACTCTCATTTCGTATGCATGCTCCGTGAGAGGTCATCAGTTTCACAACTGCCTCTGTAGTTGCAAGTTCTCGAGTGTTGGTGTTGCTGGGCACAATCCCAGCAACGACAGCGCTCTGTAGCTACTGCTACAACAGCAATGGATTATTTGATTCCTACAAATGGGATGTTGGTCAGCGTGTTCTAATCGCAGACTGCTCTCGATTAACGAATCAAGATGTGCCTCAATCTATCCTTGTCTCCGGCACCAATACTTGCAGTCAATGCATGAATTGTCTAATTCTCGTCGTATACGGTCATTCTATGTCTATTGATCATTTAACCGGTAAAGTGGGTGAATATGATACAATGGCTCTCCACGAAGTTCGAAGGGTCTTTGTCCGCCGAGGGTCTCCGAAGGAGCCCAGTGGGATCTTTGATCCCTACACTAGTTCTCCTGGTCTTCAGACCAGTCAGGCTACTGAACAATAAAATAATCATTTACACTGGAGGGTCGGAAACCCCCTGGTGTCCTACGGACTACCTTCTTTGATCATCTCCTCAAGTGTATTGATAAGTTTTTTTATGGCAACGCAATTCAATACAGCAAACTGATTATAATCGATGTTATACTGAAATCCATCAATATCAACATCATCAAATCTTTTTTTAGGTTTTCGTTTGGACTATAATTCACCATTTCAGCGCAAATAGGAAGTGTCTCTTGAGCAATTAATTCTAATCTTGTAATGGGTTAACTTAGTTTAACCCACAAAAGTGATTTTCTTTGTCACATCGCGGGTAACGCCAACCTGTTCAAATTCATTTATGCTTTTTCAGACAAGTAGCGGGACAATAACTTCAAGTAGAACTTCAAACGGCCAATCATTTAATTCCACAAACGAAACATCAAGTTGTGTTTTGTTCCATTTTAACAATGGAGATGCTTATTTTGGAACATCAACAGCAGACAATTTAGTCTTTCAAACGAGTAATACAGGAAGAATAACAATTAGTTCATCAGGAGCAGTATCTGGGATTTCATCGCTAAGTGCAACAACGTTAACTGGAACATTAAGCACTGCATCACAGCCGAATATCACATCCATTGGAGATTTAACATTACCCAGTTCGCTTACAATAACAAATGGAACGACTCCACTTTCAATCAGCAATACTACTTCGACAGGTACTTTTCGATTGACTACCCAAAGTAGTGGTGGGGCTCAAGGTATTGTTTGTTTTACAAGCCATAGTTTCTTTTTAAATACAAGCAATACTCGAAGATTGCAATGTGATACATCTGGCAATGTAGATACTTTAAATCATAATGCATCTACTATCGGATTAAGGAACATTAATTAGATCATCAGCTACTGAATTAAACTATTTTTCTGGAGTGACTGTTGGAACAGTTGTTGCTAGTAAGGTTATAGTATTAGATGCATCTAAAGATATTTATGGAATTGATATTATTGGATGAATAGCGTTGATCCGACGAACAACTCAACTCTACTTTACAAAAGGATTTTGAGGGGAAAAAATCAAGCGACTGGCGAAGATGGTATTCAGATTTATGACTCTCAATTTCATACCACACCAAAATCCATTCTAAGTTTATATCCAGTGAATGACGACACTCCAATTTATTTGAAATGCTACAACTATCTCCGAGGAAATTATAAACTGTTTCAAAATGGAAGCACTGGTGCATACAATAATGGTATGTTGATTCAGTATGACATTACTGGTGCTTCCAGCGCTGCCTTATCACACAACAGTATCTCCTTCGTTGATACTAGTGGAGCGTTGGTTGAATCAATACAACACCAGCAAGCCGATTGTTCATTTTGCCAGCACTTTGAGCGATATCAATACGAATTACACTAACTTCAAAGCAATTCTATGCGAAGGGGTTATCATGAAAAAATCACGCATGCTATCAAATAGCACAACGGCTGCTGTGTCTCCATCATCTCAGTTTTGTGCTCAAGCAACGACATCATGGCCTGATGGCTCATACAATAAAGCTATTCATTGCATCACAGATAACGCACTCCTTGGAATTTCTTGTAGAGTTGAACGCTGGATCAAATGCGACGACGACTAACGCAACATGGATTGGAAATGTTAGCAACAATGACTTGAGATTTGGAGTCAATAACTCGATGAAAATGATTTTTGATACAAATGGGAGATTGGGAATTGGGACAAATTCGCCCATAGCACTTTTACATGTGAGCGGAACCATACGTATACAGTTATTCCAATACCAACCAATACTTACAGCTATAGTGTTTCAAACAACACTTGGACAAATAATGGAGGTGGTCCATTTAGCTTCAGCATAAGTGCGTTCTTTAGCTCGAATATCTATGTTGGAGCTAGCGTATATACTTATCTGACAGACGATTGAAAGAAAATATAAAAAAACAATCGATTTGAGCTTTGATCACTATCAAAAATTTAATCCGGTTTCTTATAATTATCGAAACGACAAGACAGTCAAGATGTGGGTTTTTGAAAAAGTGTATCCATCCAGCTGTGGGTGAACTGACAGAATTTATTGGTCATATGCTAGTTAAAGTAATTCGGTCAATAAATTCTGTCAATTCACCCACAGCTGGATGGATACACTTTTCAAAAACCCACATCTTGTAATGGGTTAACTTAGTTTATCCCACAAAAGTGATTTTCTTTGTCACATCGCGGGTAACGCCAACCTGTTCAAATTCATTTATGCTTTTTCAGACTTTCTATTCGTTCAATATCATATTGACAATATGTGCTACCTGGTAATCCTTTACGGTGAAGATAGCCGAAAGCTTTGCTTCTCCCCATTCCAACTTGGCATTCCCAAGTGCACTGTAGGTATCGTAATCCCGCTCATTTTGTGTTGCAGCTTCCACATAAAATGCTAGCTTACGTGAAAACGAGGAGCAAACCAGGATTGGCTCCGCCCAACTCTGTCCAGAAGTCCGAGCACAGCAGGCAGCACACTGCTGCCAGCATTACGTTCACTTTGCAATTCACCCGCATCAACTCAGCTCGAACTCATCTCGATTCGGATCAAAATGGTCCAGTTCTCCGCAATTTTTGGTATGGTGGCGCTCGCTTCGGCATTTGTCGCGGACCCCGTTGTTGCCGTTGATAAGCCGCTTCCTTGGGACGGCCGCGGATACGACCTGACCGTCGAGACCGTGTCTGAGAAGTATCTGACGCACATCCTCACAATGCGTAACAACGGCACGGACGGCAAGGTCTCGGACTACGTTTCAATCGAGAAGGGAGGCCGCTTGCCCGCCTACAACGGCGACACAGGCATCATTAACATCGGCGTGGATTCGAAGGCCATTTTCAAAACCCAGACTAACTTCCGACGCTCCGAGCTCGTCCAGAATGTCGCCGCCAACACCAAGGGTACCACATTCTTCCGCACCAGCGTCATGAAGGAGGATGACTTCCTCAACCCGTACGCGTGGCAAATGATCTTCCCAGAGTCTCACATCTTCGAGATCCGTGTGGATGCCACCTCCAGCCCTGCCAAGATCATCTACCTCAACAACGGCACCTATGATGCCAAGTGGGAGACTGAATTCGTGCCTGGAACGTGGTACAACTTCGGTATCGGTATTTCGCCCGCCGCATCGGGCAAAGGATCCGTGCTGGAATTCTACACGAGTGAGGGCAACAAGAAGCTGGTTCGTAAGGCCAAGCACGAATACGCCACGGAGTTGCCCACGAACTACGAATTCCACATTGGCCTCCTGACACTGACGGACGACGGCAGCGCACCGAAGATGAACGCGAAGCAGGACATCGTGTCGTACAACGGCGTGTCTGTGGACGCAAAGGTGTCGAAGTAAAGACACCGCAGCATATTAGTGCTTTTTAACACTCGTCGGTACGCATGCTGATTGGCCGGGATGCCATTCAGACGAAAAAAAACCATTAAAATTTGCCTGGTTTTTTTTCGTCTGAATGCTATCCCGGCCATTCAAAAAGTAGCATACGATTGTTTCAACAAATCAAACTTGCTGAAACTGTTTCATCATTCCGGATAACAATTTCTATTTTTACAGTGCATTTAATTTTTATTGGAAAAAATAATCCGGATAATAGTCCAGTCTGTATACGATGGCTTTTGCATTCTGATTGGCCGGATGGCATTCAGACGAGATTTTGGCACTAAGTTGAATGCCAACCAAGCCTATATTATTACGACCCAAAATTTGACTTTTTTGAGTTGATTCCGAATAACCCAAATAAACCGTACCGTTGGATGGCATTCAGATGAAAAACCCATTATACTTCTAATGGTTTTTTTTGTGTCTGAATGCCATCAGCATGCGTACCGACGAGTGTTAAGGACTTATAGCTCCTGCCTTACTTCGACGCCTTTTTGCGTCAACACGATGTCCTGGAGTAGTGATGAAGAAGACATGGTCGCTGCAAGCGGTTCCACCAGCGCAGCGCCGTTGCCGACACTTACGTGCACCACAGAGAGTGTCAAGATTCTCGTGACACTGTTAAGTTGCCTAGCGCATGGTAAATGCGACCAACGTGTACGCTGCGACGTAGACCGACGGGGTCTGCTCTTCACTGCGCACTCCAAGGGCAAGTCCCTGCAGATCAAGACGTCAATCGGACGAGAGCTCTTCGAGAGCTACAAGTTTGGTGCGACAGGACCCGAATCAGCAGAAGAGTACGAAGACGAGGATGACGAGGACGCTGTACAGCTGAGCTTTGCACTTAACGTCAATCTCCTGATCGAATGCTTATCCATGTTTGGACCCTCTGCTTTAGCCACCACGTCACTTCGGATGACGTACGAACCAGAGGTAAAGTGATGGTAGAATGTACTAGAGTTGAGGTAATATTGACGGTTATTGTGTTGTGTTTGAGGTAGAGTGCAAGTTTGCTGCTGGTTGTGGAAGACAGCGGCGTAATGTGCGAGTGCTCCATGCAAGTTTTGGAGCACGAAGGCGGAGATATGGGCCAGCTGGAGTTCGAGACCGCGTTCGAGCAGTCAGCAGTAGTGGCACGCTGCATTATGCAGTCAGAGCCACTACGAGACGCTTTTGCTGAGCTCTACGATCTGCCCAGTGCTGCGAGTGTGACTATTGCCATGGTCGATACCGACAGCAGAAGCCCGGAAGCCAAATGTCTAAGCTTGAGTGCGACGTCGGAGACGGGCTCGTGCGAGATCGATTTTGCGCCTACGTCGTCGGCTTTTATCGAGTTTTCCTGTGCTCCGTCAAGTGAGGGCGACTATGGTGGGAGTTGTGCTGCCACTTTCCACGTCGCGGTGCTACAGCAGGCGTTCAAGGCACTGACCCATTCAAACGAAACTTTCCTTCGTATGAACGGTGATGGTTTCCTGTCGATCCAGCACATGATTGAAAGTGGTTCAGGTGATAAAGCTTTCGTTGACGCTTTGATCAGCCCCGAGGACACATCGATTTCGTAGATAGATACACTGGAGTGTGCGTCATGCATGACCAGAAGCTTCCGCTTCGGATGCAGTATACAGCGCAGCAGCTTCGCCTCTATTTAAGATTCATGAGCAAGCATCTCGACTATCTTCATCTTCGCACACATATTATCTTGCCGGCATCTAGGGAACGACATCGAGAACTCGATTGGTTTGGAATGAACGCAGAATGTACCGCAATAATTCTCATCTGCTATTTGAAAAGGGAAGACCCTTCGCTTCAAATCCAGATATGGAGTTTTCTGTCCCAGAAGACACTAAAGCGATGGGTGCGCCGTTGTAACGCGCTCTAGTGGTTGTGAGTGCCATGGATGCAGACTCTGAAGGCAGTGCCAGAGACGCGTCGTTCACTCTGCCTAGTATCAATGGTCGATGCAAGGAAGATATCAACGACAAAACTCAACAGACCATAACCTATCTAGATGCGCGATTGGAAGAACTGGAGTTGCACATATTGGCCTCGGCTAAAGACGACGAGTCCGATGACGTTCAGTCTGATATTTCATCTGAGCAAAACAATGAGAGGCGACAAACACTTGAAAAAAAAGAAGATGCACCTTGGGTCATCACTGAGCTGCCAACACAAGTAACCATACCTGCATATGCTGCGCTTGAGGTCTTTCAAGTCAAAAAGTGGCGTGAGATTTTGCAATTGGTAAGCGGAATGAACACTTATTCTTCTGAGAATCATACTGCACACTAACTCGCATACGTCTTATGGCTTTTGGATAGATGAAGCTCATGTCAGCGCCGTGTTTCCGTAACATTCGCCTTGCTGGTGATGATAGAGCACTCTATGAAGGATTCTTTCGTGCGTTCCCGCACCATGTCGTCACAAAAGCTCGATTTATGAGTGTTGTTCGACACATTTTCGGAATTCCAGCCGTATCTATGATTCACCAGCGCAGTAAAACCAAGAATGCCAACCGAGACATGGCATCTGGTGAAAATCACAACGCTGAAGACCACGAAAGCGAAAAGGCAGCCGCTCGCCTGGCACTCGACCGTCATCTCGAAAAACTGCAGTACTGTTGTGAGCGGTCAGTGGACAATGTTCTCGTCCTCAACTGGAGAATTTTACTCGTCGCGCTGAGGTATCGTTTCGCCTGTATTGCAGCTCCGATATTGTATCTTTGACTTACACTGAGTTGGTAGAATGTTTAAGGAACCTTTGCTGACAGTCCGAGAACACTTAAGCTGGGCGGTTAGTGTATTTGCGTCAAGTGGCAGCCTTGAGATTAACGACGGCGACACAATCGATGCTGATAATGTGACTCTGATGCTCACTCATGTAATGCGAAACCCCACCGCTTCTCACCTCGTTTCGGAGAGGGTAAGTCACTCGATAACATTTTTTTTCCTTACAAAGTTGTTTCTAATATTGATGTATGACTAGCTACGAGCTGCGTTTGATATGCTTCCATCGTTTCGAGCAACATCTTCTTCACTGTCCTCGACCGCCGTCTCGTCTTCAAGAATCACGTATCGAGTATTCAAACGACTACTTCAGCTCCCACCACTACGAACGCTGATGAATGACCGCATGACACCGCACACAACCGTAATAGACGAACTCAGTGTTCCGGTGTATCGCGACTTCGTGTACCGAGCCCGAAGACGCGAGCACAACAGGAGAGTTCTACGGCGGCTCCGGTACTACAACGAGACAAAAACTTTACGCTTGTGCTTCCACACTTGGGCGCAAAATGCTAGAGACCGCAAATCTGCTCGCTCTACGATGATATTTGTCTACACTATCGCGACCCGTATCAAGCAACGAACTGCCTTTGGAGCACTTCGTCGACACGCTTTAGCGAGCATCGCAGCTCTTGAGATTCAGCGCGTGTTTCGTGGAATGCGCGGACGAATGCGAGCAGATGAGATCTGGCGTAAGATACAAGCTGTATTAGCTGTGCAAGGCGCCTTTCGGATGCGAGCTTATTTTACAAGACACTTGCGCAAACTTCGGCGCCAAAACCTTTTTGCCATTCGCATCCAGCGCGTCTATCGAGGTCGATTGGGACGTATCTATGCTCGTCAAACACTACTAACACATTATTATCGCGAAATGGCCGCCATACAACAGGAGCGGGAGGCATTCCGAGCACTTGTGCGCGACGAGATGGCACGTCGACTGCAGCGCTTTTTCCGGAAAATTGTTGCAGATAAACAGCGTGCAAAGCGTGTTGAAGAAGAGAGAGCGAAGCGAGAAGCCGAGCTGGAGAAGTTGCGGGTTTCTGGAGATGCAGCACAACAAGCGGCACGACACCGACGTGAGGTGACAGAGAAATATGATAAGTTGCGGGAGGAGGCAGAATACAAGGAGAAACGCCGTCGTATTGATGACATCGAAAAGCAGAAGATTGTACATCGAAGGCGTCAGCGAGAATGGGAAGCGTTTAAAACCGAAAAGATCGCACGGAAGGAAGCGCTAAAACTGCAGGGGAAGGAGAGTTACGATCGTCTGAAGAGTCAATGGGATAACATAATTGCGGAAACTGTACACAAACGCGAGAAGTTAATAGACCAGTTGCTACAGCTTGAAGACGTTCAAGGTGAGTGGAAAAAAATACATACACGGCTTCATCAACGCGTGAGAGAGCGTTCGAAGCAACTCACAGCAAAGCACAAGTCCAGTGGCGTGGTGATTCAGAAAAAGGAGATCATCGAGCGTGCACAACTTGAAATTAAGGCTGAAGAAGCGGAGGAGAAACGACTTAAGGTATCGAATCCAAATATCTACTTGACCGCACTCAAGCAACTTACCTCTGTTGTTTGCGCAGGTGGAGAACGACTGGCTGAAAGCAGAAGCAGACTACTTGAAGAAGCTGGAGGACGAACAGGAAGAGCGTTTGGTACGTTCATAGAGTTGTCGTTCTGATTGGTAGTCGTTTTGCTCATAATGTTTGCATCTGCAGCTTGCCGAAAACACAGAGGAGCGCACAGCTCGCCAAAAAAATGCATTGACCATTCAGTGTGCGTTCCGTATGTTTACAGCGCGCAAGCTACTGCGTGGCATGCTGTCCGAGTTGTACATAAAGGAATTCAATATCGAGACCCAAGTACCAAGGTATCGCAACAGATTTACAGGGAAGGTCAGGACTCGGAAGCCTACTGGTCTGGGCTCGAAGGAACTCGAATACGAAAATTGCTGGGTGATCATGATTGACAATGTGCTTGGTAAGTTGACGGCAATGTTAGGTAGCGTTGACACTAACGTTTGACGGTATCCTGGATCCTTGCTAGGTGAACCATTTTTCTACAATCCGCGCCGAATGAAGCAAAGCTGGGCTAGACCTGACGATTGTCGCTTTTGCGGACCCTGCAGCAATTCTTCGAGCACAGTATTTGCTGCTGTCTGGAATTCCCACGACGACACGTACCTGTGCCAAGAGTGCTACGAGCACGAGTACGTCAAACGGGGTCAGCAAGACAATCTCCAGGCCGACATATATGTCACGTACGATGGATCCCGCCCAAACGGAGAGTAGTTTTACACTGTACATTTCTACATGTAGTGTAGCCTGTGGCTACCCTCGATACAAATCAAGGCAGCAACTTTTGTGCCCGCTGGCTCATCTCTTCTTGTACAAGCTAAGTGCATGGTTGCTTCCGTTGAAGATTTCTAGATATGGCCCTCCATCGTGAGCACGCCGTCTGCAGTACAATGAGTTAGTTAAACATGAGAAATGCTCAATGTGAAACGATATCAAGCACCCAACCTACCTATTGAATCCCTCGGTGAGCTCCCAACAGTGCTTCCCGCAGTAGATACTCCTCTGTACAGCCACGCGTTAGTTAGCATCCTCTATAGTTCACAGCATCAATTTCGCCTTACCTCTTCGCGCGCTGAGCAGCTACGGCTGCCTGTTTTTTCCCTGTAGTCGATTCGATCGAGGGGTGGTCCCATTGTGTGATCCGCAACGTCGGGTTGCAGTAGTACACCTTGCCCTTCGAGCGCGACATACGTGTCTCCCAGCCAGGAGGAAGCGGCATTGCATCTAAGTTGAACGACTCCCTCGCAGCAGAAGCTCTACGAAGCTCCGCGTTTTGGCGCGAAGCTGCAGATGGTCCATCCTCGCCGTAGTACTTCTCTTTGACAGCGGTGAGCCTGTTTTTCAAAGACTCCATAGCCCCGGCACCAGCCGCACTAACCTCTTGGAGTAGCGACGGTCGGCCACCAGAGTCACCCATGTCACTACCAGAGAAACGACCCTCACCATCGCTATCACCACCGCTGTTGTTGCGCCACATCTTCGCGCGAGACATACGCCGCGCAGACTGGCGGAGGAACTGCGCTGTCTCTGCGGATCTCTGAGCAAGGGCCGCCTGCATGGCAGTCGACGCCCGGCTTGCATCGCCATTGTCGTAGCCGTCGTCAAACTCTTTCTTGGATCCCAATCTTCGGAACACGGAGCGACGGTCCTTTCGCGTAGATCTTTGACTTGATAGGATCGGGTCGGAGCCTACAAGTTCTCGGAGTTTTACACACTCACGCTCTACAGCCTCGAGCTTCTTATCCTTCTCACGAATCTAGACACGACATACAATGAGAAAGATTAGCAAGCGGCCACACAAGCACTGAGTCGAATGCCAGAGGCCATACCGTGTCTTGAAAGCCGCGGATCTTGACTTGGAAGTTCGCCGTCAGCACCGTTTGGTCAAACTTGAGCTTTTCGACCTCGCTCTTTAGTTGTGCCGTCAGTGCACGCTGCTCTTCATTCTCTTTGCGTAGACGATTCGCCTCTTCGTTAAGCTGGCTGATAATACCATCGGCATCAGCCATCCACATGTGGGCAGTTGATCGCCCGCGTGATCGCGTCCCATTAGTTTCTGCGTAGAGTTGGCTGTCCGTAGACGAATTAGACAGCCGGTCTTTCTTAAGCTCCGCGTTTCGACGCTGTTCATCGTGGAGACGTTCCTGGAGCTTGCTGAGCTGGTATTCCATATCAGCCTGCTGCTTCTTCTCCTGCAGAGCTTTCATATACTTCGGTCGCTCGTACTTCATACGCAGGAATGCTTGAATCTTTACGGCCCCCTTCCGTTCATCCTTGAATTGCTTGCTGCGAATCGGCAACACAATCATAATGAATTAGCGACGCATGCGCTATAAGATATCTTCGACAATAAGAACTCACCGTTTGACAAATCGACGAGCATATTTCTGAATAATGACCGCGCTCTTGTTCTTCTTGGCCTCGAGCGCAATGCAACGACCTTTGTATCCTCGCCAGTGCGCTTGGAGAGTGATCACAGCAGTCTTGAATGACTGGTATCGATTCATCATGATAACACATCGAGCAACAGACTAATATTCATGCAACACGCATTGCGTAACCAGCCCGATTAGTCATGAATGTGACTAGCACATGATACAAGTTAGAACAACGATGAGATAATCTTACCTGCAGCTTGACAATTGCTTGTAGCTTGCGAAGGAAACGAAGTCTGCAGCAAAACCCTCGCATGTAATGCTGCAAGTGACGAGCCTGCAGATCCAAACGCTCCGCCTTTTTGTCCTCCATTTGCTCTAGAATTCCATATCGGAAGTAAATGCGCGAAAGTCCAATTTGGTATTGTTCAGGTGACGACAATTCCATCTTTTTCATCAATGCCTCACATCGCTGTTTGACAGGAACATCAGTGTTGCGATGCTCTACATCGAACACCCAGAATTTGTCGACCAATTCCTCCAGCAGTAGTCGGTTCGGATACGCAACACGAGAAATACGAATTGCCTCGATCACACCGGCACAACGCAGTTGCGATACTACCATTGGCTGATCCATTTCGCTTGGACTTTTGTTTTTGTTGGGCTTGATACAGCGGACGTAGTGTACCTTTGTTTGGCGAATACTAGTCATAAGCTCGTTGAGGTTGTCCTTGAATTGGGTTCCCACGTTCGCCACCGTCAAAGCACTCCCCCTACCTCCTGCACGCCGAGCATTACTGGCGCTTTTCTTTCGTGAGGCAACTGGGCTGCCGATCTTTTCGGTAAATATTGTCCTGAGGAACTGCTTGGACGAACCCCGCATCAAATCGGATAGATCAGGGAGAAGTGCATCTTTGTGCTTTTCGAGGAATCCCAGTGATTCGTACGTAACGGCTCCAGCGTAGTGCTTGATTGTAAACTGTGTGCGTGATGTGCGAGGAAACTCAATGACATCTTGCTCATCCTTGTGAATGGTTGATAGCTTGGAGACAAGAGACTCATCATTTCCCTTAGGACGCATCACCTCGTCGTTCAGCAGCGAAATAATACCAAGGCGATCTTCAATCACAGAAATCACGTCTTGATTGTCTGCGAAGTCGATGTGACTCCACATGATGCCTTCGGCTTCGTACTCAATCTGCACGGTCTTGAAGACATCTTGGGTGAATTTCTGCTGAAGCTTCTCGTTTGCGTAGTTAATGCAAAATTGTTCGAAGGAATTGTGTTTGAAGTGCTCGAAGCCGAAAATATCAAGAATGCCCACATGGTGGCGCATCTTCTTATCGTTTTCCAGGGACGTATTGATCATTTCGACTAGCCAGTCGAACACGTTGGAGTAAATTGCCTTCGATAAAGCACCAATACACTCCTCCGCCTGATCCTTTTTCAAAAAGGTAGTCACTTTGTCTCCAGCGACTGCAATCTGGCGCGAGCACAGTGCCTTCTCTAGGTCTGCTTCCGAGATACCAAGGAGTTTGGTCGCATTCTTCGCTCCTTGATCGTTTGGTGCAATTTCAGACTCTTCATTGTTATTCTTCGACTGAATTTCCAATTGTCCCAGGTGTAGCACGCCTGCAAGCACCTCAAAGAGAACTCCTTGCTGCTCCTCCGTGACGCCAATAAGCCCGAGAGCCGTCTTGGTCCGCTCGAAGTGCTTGTCATCCGACATACCTTCAATCTTAATAGTCTTATTCGCGCCTGTGTACGCATAGCACTCATTGGCATCATCCAAGAACCATTTCTCCTTACTGTCACTCGCCGCTAGCAACTGATAGAAAATGTGGTAATTGCGTTCCGATTCTTCGTGCGAAATCACACGAGTCTTTTCCAGCAAGTATGTTCTGCATCTCGCTCCCACCAGAATACCAGCGTTATCAAATTGGAGCTGAGTGAATTTGCCGAAGCGAGAACTGTTGTCGTTCCTCACCGTTTTAGCGTTACCGAACGACTCGAGCAGCGGATTTACCTCTATAATCTTCTTGATTGTGTAGTCGTTTAGACCTCCAGCAATTGAGGCAAGATGATTCATGAGAATCTTGGTGGTCTCTGTCTTACCAGCTCCCGATTCTCCACTCACCAAGATAGACTGGTTCATTTCATGCCGCTTCATGTCGTTGTACGACGCCATGGAAGTCGCATACACATGCGGCGGCAGTTCGTCTCGTGCCTTGGTGAGATACTGAGACTGCACCTGCTCCGAATAGAGCTCTGGTAGCCATTGGTATGGGTTCACGGCGATGCAAATGTCGCCCGTGTATGTGTAGGGCAGTTTTTGCAGGAAGCGCTTCTTAACATTGTACAGGATGGCGGCCTCGTGCAGGTAGTTGAGTGCCGTCATGTCCTCAATACCGTTGGGCCCCAGATTCTCATTCTGGTACGGCAGCGACTCGAGTTGCAAACTCTTGAGCATGGCTTTGACTTTGTGGTCATTGAAGTCCAGCACACGCTCTTCGTCTACAACGGCGGTGGCATCGCCAGGCGGAGGGTAAACACGCAGCACGACGGTCTTCTCGGGCTTCTTAGGGTCAGAGCTCTTCTCCTCGCGCAGGATCTGCGCCGGTAGCCACACGTACGTGTCGTCGGGCACATAGCACTTGGAGCCCGCGCCCGCCTCCTTCATGGTTATTTACACTTTGCTGAGTATGGAGATCGAGTGCGCACCAGAATGCGAAATGCAGAGTGATGATCCTCTAGCGACACGTGCGGAACCCGCAATGCGAATGCGGGCACGATCTCGAGCCACTTTTTGGCTCACTTTCGTTGCCTTGTGTTTGCGACTGATTTCCAGGAGCATACAAACTGAAAGATAAACTTCAACTATCGTGAAGCCTATCCTCCGTCATTTGTGCATAAACAAACCTGTCTTACATCATAATTGTATCTGTTGAGCGACACACAGATAAGCATGGAGGCGGTCGTGCGCGAGCTCCAGAGCGACGGTAAGCAGCAAGATCCATTATTTTGCACTCTTATTAACGGCTAAAGACGTCCCTGTATTCAATTACGCAACTGTAGCGCAGTTGGGCGTGTTCTTGAGTCCGGAATGCAACGTCAGCGCCATCGCCAGCTCTGTCGTGGCGCGCGACTCGGCCTCGCGGGACGTCAGCGGCACCTCTCGCCTCCGCGCCAGCTCCTCGACCGGTTTCACGGCGGCTGATGATCTAGATGAACCCAGCCAATCGGAGCAGTTCGTGGAACGTCTAGATGGCGCTGTGCAACGCATTGATCGGGTTATCTCGGAGCATATTGGCGAGCACCACGCCACGCTGCTGGACCAGGTGGGCTCCGTGGATGAGCTGCAAGGCCACGTGACGTCGGTTCAGAGCTCGGCGGGGCAGCTCAAGCAGTCAGTGCACTCGCTTCAGGCGTTGGTGCGAGAGCTGCACGAGAACCTGCGCGACACTATCCAGCGCTACCGCAACGTGGAGCAGTGCGGAGACATTGTGCGGCGCGTTCTGCGCTTCCAGCAGCTTTCGGACCGTGTGTTGGGGTCCGAGCTAAACCATGTTGATAAGACGTCGACGGGAGCCGTTGTGGAGAATGGGAGTGGGCTTTCGGGTGATGCGAGACAGAGCGAGATGGCGTCGGTGGCACTCGCAATTCGAGAAATGGAATTGCTGGTACAAGATGAGAGTTTTGAAGAGCTGAGTGTTGTTTGCGCAAAACTGCCAGCTACACGCAAACTTAGTACGAACTTGAAGCGCGAGGTGCGTGCTACATTGCGTTCTGGTATCCAGAACTTGAGCCAGGCGAACGTGGGTGACGCTCTTCAGATCCTCTTTTACTTGGGAGATTTAGCTACGATAGCTCAAGCCTCAGTGAACGATGTGATTCAGGAAGTGGAGCGGAAGTGCAGTGCTGCTATCGCAGAGGAGAAGCTTGTGCGCTCCGGCAGTAGCGGCTCCAACGGCTTGGATACAAGTAATGGGCCGTCAGCTAGCATCATCCAGAAATCCGACGTGTGGAAAGCTCTCCAAGATGTTTTTGATGTCATCCGCGTACATGCTATGCAAGTATGGAATCTGCAACGCGTGCTATTGAAGATGGTCGACCCGGCTTCAAGCAAAAAGTATCTAGATCTGGTGCTGGAGCCGGATGAGCCATCTCTCTTTGCTACGTTCTGGGAGGTCACTTGTGCAATTGTACGGGAACTATTCGCGTCCACTCTTGGTTACAGCACATCTGTCAAATCAGTACTGATTGCGGAGTATCCACGAATGCGCGAGCAAGCCACACGTGTTCTAAACGAACTGTTCGTCTCGACGAAGCAGAGTGCTGGTACAGAGTTTCTGGCCGACTCAGCGACTGAAAATAAGGTTGACACAAAGGATGGCTCAGTGAAGCGAGAATTGGTGCCAATAGCAGGATCCCCGGCCGAGCGTACACAGCTACTGGACTCAATGGCACCACTATATGATGCCTTTATCGATCGAGCGTACCGCCGGATGTCGAACCCAATTCAACTCATGTTCCCTCAGAGCTCAAACTTCCACGCATCGCCACCTGGCCGAAGTGACATGCAAACCCTGTCACGCACAATTTTCTCAGAGCTGGAGCACGCTGGCCAAGATCTCGTGTTGCTGGATGGTACACTTCAGCAAGTGCGAAAGGCAGTAAACCTCTTCTGCTCAAACGTGAAAAGAATTATGCATCAAGGCAAGGCGGCTGCCGCAACAATGTCGTCTTTCGGACGGACGCCTGCACAGGCTCATAATGTTGGGCTCATGAATGTGCTGAGCTTGCTGGACGATGCAGTTGAGGAGGTTATGAACCGCATTGAAACAGCAGCAGCTCCCAATGGTACCCAAACAGGAACGTCGACACACATGTCGTCTGCCGCTGATCCCGTTGCAACTGGAGTGATGTCATCCAAAGAAGCTAAAGAGTTGTGCACGAAAAATCTGTCCCCATGCCGTGAGATGATTGGAGACCTGAAATACGCCTTGCTGGGCTTCTACCTGCAGGCACTCGCAGTGTTGTTGGAAAGTATTTTCGCGAAAATGCACGATGAGTCCTTCGGTGATCAAAGCGCGACGGCCAGAGTGGCCACATCAGGGGGTGCACCGCGAAGTAGCGGTGGAGGTCGTTCATCGCAAGGCACAAGTGGGTCGAAGTACATGCAGGAGTTCAGCAACGCTTTCACGATTATCCTGGAGGAGCACCTTCGCCGCCTTCCTATTGCTGTGTTTGCTACCAAATGTCTGGCGGATTTTGTAGAGCGGCTCATCTCGGTATTTATCCGACACGCATCGCTGCTAAGACCGTTAACTGAGAACGGTAAACTGCGTCTCGCGAACGACATGGCACAGTTAGAGCTAAGACTAGAGCACATTGTGCCCCTGAGGAATATCGGGACGGCCTACGAGGAGCTACGAGCATTCCGTCACATGATCTTCCTTGATAACAGTGAGATTCTTCGGGATACCACAATCGACAAGATTCGTCCGAGTAATGTCTGGCATCACCTCACCTCTCGCGCTCCACCTGAGCTTCAACTTCCGCACCAAATGAAACACTGGACGGCTTCCAAGTATATTGAGTGGCTAGATACTCGTGCAGCTATCGGCCAGTCTTCATCGCCGTCTACGACCCCTCCACCTTCAAGCGGCAAGTCATCTGCTCTATCACTATCTTGGAAGGAGCTACCGCTCGGTTACCCGTGCTTGAAAGATCGCCGGCTTAGCTTGCAAGCTGAAAAGCAGGCTTGGAAAGAAATGACCAAATGTCTGGACGCGTATTCCCTACGCGTGAGTGCATCAGCGAATGCCGAGTTGAGTCCGATTTATGACTTATTGCAGGAGTCTAGTGCCATACTGTTGGCAGGCTACGAAGTGATGATTTCTCGGTAACTGCAATCAATAGAACGAGTACCGAGTACGGTTTTGATCAGCATGGTGCTTGATTTCTCTTACTAAAGTAGTGATGGCTTTGGTTGTAGAACTTCGTTGTTTCCTACTTTCTTTCGCCTTCGCACCTTTTTCTTGGATACAAAATTGGCAGGCTTCTCCCATCGTGATTCACCCGTTCGAGCGTTGTAGTAGAATACTCTCTTGGCTAGTGGATCTTCATACTGTGGGTGCAGTAACAAAGTGTTAATGAACATTTTACTTCAAGTACAAGTTTCTGGCAGTAAACCGCGAATGAAGATGCTGACCTCCTTCCAGTAGATCACTTTGTCCTCAACAAGGCCACTGCCACCCCATGCCTTATCGTAGCGCTGCTTTGCACGACGTTCATCAGGTGGTGTCTTGGACGCGTGAGATAGCTCTTTCAAATTGCTTTTTGCTAGCAGTGAGTGCGCAAAGCGATAACCATAAACTTTGACAAGCCGCTGGCGAATCCGCTCAGATTTCTCGGTACTGAGCTCTCCTGTGAAAATCGTTTTGGTGACTTGCTCAAATTCTGCTTGAACCACCTCGAGTGTCGTTGTCGAATCTTCAAGAAGACCTAGAACATAAACGGATGCCAGTGCGTGGTTTGCGGAGACACGCCATGCTTCTTTCACAGAAGAACACTGGTCAACTACTATGCTGAAATTTCGGGGCTCGTCAAATTTGTACGGTGCTTCGGTGACGAGTTTTGCCGGCTCACTACGACTGCACAAACGAAGGATGTAAGATCATTCGGAAACTCACAAAGTGCAAACAATATTTCCGAGCGTACGTGCTTGGGACGACCTTGCGTGGGGTGGACTTCTTGGAGCCCGTATAGTCATCACTCCTGCAACTGCTACCTCCACCAAGCTGGGCACTGTCTGTATCCGGTTGTTCACTAGTTGGTGTCAAAATCTGATAGTCACGATTGAGTTTTTGCTGTAGCTGCACTTGCGAGGCCGCTACGATATCAGCAACAGACAGAGTAATGATCCCTGTAGGGAGATGCGGTTGGATCTGCATACGACGTTGTTGCAGGTTTTCCCACGTTTTGGCACCAAGAATGCGCGTTTGGAGCACACGCTGTGTCCAAATACATGGAAAGATGAGTACTGTGCTTTGACGGTCGATTAGTGAGAGCTACTATCTCAATGCGAGGAAGATGAACGGAAAATTTTGCATTACCTGGGAATAATCGCAAGACGTCAAATATAGTAGTCACTGTGTGAATATCTTGGAAGCTGATGCGCGGAGATTCCAAGCCATGTTGCTGTTCACACTCGTTATCGTATAGTGCCTTTAGCAACGCCAGCAGATTGCGCTCCACGGGATCAGGGACACCGATAAAAAATTCGAGGCATTTATCAATCTGATGGCAGATACTTGGAGTGCTGGGAAGTTTATCATCAACCACTTGATCTCTCACCGTTCCCGTATCTTCTTGCATTAATTCCTCGCGGCCACTTTCATCGGCTTCAGCTTTCTGCGGATAAATAGCTTCGCTCACTGCACGGCGAACAAGCTTAAAAACATACCACCAGAAACACATGTGAGGTCCAACAAAGAACTTGTGAACTTCTTCAGTACCATGGACTACAAACCTCAGCACAGTCTGCTGTACATACAGAGAAGCACATCGCCATTAGCTGCATAATATCCCAACGATTCCGTGCAGTTTCTCGGTGAGTAGCTTCCTTCGCATTTGGTAGTAAAAAAGTTGTGAGTGGAGTAGGTCGAAGATCGCAATAGCGCAGCAACTCCGCACGAGAGACGCTCGAGCGACGCATAAAGTCGACATGAAGAAAACACTGGAAGTACGCCTTGCGCTGCGGTAACGTGAGGCGCAAAGCGTCACACAAATCGACCAGGTCTTCGATCTCCCGAACGAGCAGTCGGTCACGGTAGGCATCATTCTTCACGAGTTCCCGAGCTGTAAAAGCTACATGTTCGTCAATGTAAGTCGATCCGACGACGAAGGCGGCGCAACGATACACAGCGTTGCGAAATCTTAGAAACCATGGGCGCTTGGCGGCTCGTTCCATCCATACTTTGAGCTTTAATAATACCGGAGACTTGGCCACAACGTCCGAATAGTGCTGAATGAAGACTATCCATGTCTGAACGAGACGCACGGCGTGCTGTAGCGCCAATTTAAGATAGTGCAGTGCCAAAAGAGCGTAATGCAAAAGCAGCAGCTTAACATCATGGTTCTCCATGAAGTCGAAGGGGCACTGATCGTGAAGGGGTCCCAAAATATTGTTATGCCCTGCGATTTCATTACTTCTCACATGAAGGACACTGCAATCTGGACTGCTGTTCCACTACAGTACATGTCAATGCAGCGACGCTGGCAACTACGACTTACTGCTTCTTCTCCAGGATAATGCTGAGCTGGTTGTAGAGCGACTCCTCCTTTTTCTTATCGATCGAGTCCTGCATACGCTGCAGCGTCGCAAACAACTTCGCCTTCGTAGCGTCATCAAAGCGGTCCAAGTGGTCAAAGCACTGTAGCAACGGGTACGCAGACATTTGGTTGACCTTGCCGATCTTCACAAACGCCTGCACCATCACATCGAGACCCTCGTCCGTGGCCAGCGAGAAGTCGCGAATCTGTGAAAGACAGCGCGACAGTGTACGGCCATGACTGGACTGAGCGGGATTGAAGCTTGGGTTCGCCAACAGCTTCAGAATTTGCTGACCCACATCCTTGGAATCCAAGCTGCTCACGATACTGATGTACTTCGTCAGCATATCCGGCGTCTTGCGCCACTCCTCGAAAATATCTTCCTGCACCTTCACGCGATCGGCAAAGGTTTCATCCTCCAGCACAAGGCGGAACCCAGTGGCCTGGTCCGTCACGAAAGTCGACTTCTTCAGCAGGTCCAGCGCCAGCTTGTACGGCTCTACGGTCGGAGCAACCTTCGGGTTCGTGTTGAGCACAGCAGCTTTTCCGCCAGCCACAATTAGCAGAAGTAGGTGACGCTTGAGAGCACGCTCTTGGAACTGCTCGACGTGCGGGCCAGGGTGAGCAGTCTTGCACAGCTTGTTGTATGCAGCCTCGATCTTCGTCGAGTACTTGGCCCACACTGCCTGCAGCAGTGCTGTAGTCGCTTCCTTAATTGCAGCATAATGGTGACTCAGGTCATCGCGGCTCGGGATGGTCTTGGCTTCTCCCAATGTCAGGGCGCGAGCAGAAGGGGTGAGTTCATCCGAGAACAGGATCGATCCGTGCAGCTCCACGAACTCGGACGAAATCTCCACCTGCTTGTCACCCTTGAGCAGTCCTTCAATCACCTTTGCCTTTTCAATATCTGCAACGCTGCGGTAGGCCTGGTACTTGTTGACAGCATCCGGGTCAGAGAGCGCCTGCTTGGTGAGTCGAGCGACGGACGGGTTCGTCTGCTTCGACTTGCCGAAGAATGACCAACCGCGAGCAAAAGACATAAAGTCTGGCTCCTCCAACACATCCGGAATAACGAGTTTGGCATCCTTCGTCTTCATGAGAAACACACCGTTCTTCATCGACTTGCCCTCCTTAACAAGGGACCAGTCAATGGGAATCTCCCACGGTCCGTTGTTCTCGGCTGGCTTATCCTCGAAACCAGTCTGCGAGATCTCCACGACGTACTCCTTGGAAGCAGCCTTGTACTCCGTCGAATACGTCACCTCTGGGTGACCTGGGCGGTTCAACCACGTCTTGGCCAGGTTCTGCAGGTTCAGGCCAGAACATTCCTCCATGCACTTGATCCACTCCATGCTTGTAGCATTGCCAAACGCATACTTGGTGTGGTACATGTCAAGAGCCTTGTGGAAAGCAGCGTCGCCTAATAGCAACTCGACCATACGAACGAACTCAGGAGCCTTCGAGTAGGTCACCACAGAAACAAGCTCCTGGGTCTGGTTGAAACCCTGCGGTTCAACAGACAGAGACGTCGCAGACTTGTCCTGTGCAAGTGGTCCGATCGCCGGGGTGAACATATACAGCACTTCGCTCAGACGGCTGTAGTCCTCACCGAAAATGGCAGCACCACGCTTGCGCTCCATGTGAACCGTGACAGCCTCGTTCAGCCAGATCTCGAACGGGGACTGGCCAGTTACCTGACTGCCATTGATATTGTGGTAGTATTCGTGGACCTTCACATGCTCCATATACTCGTACGACTTGTCGTCCATACGGCAGCTCGGACACAGGCAAGAACTCACAATAGTTGTGTTGCCGACGTTCTCCATGCCTCCGTAGTACGAATTCTCCATCGCAATCTCGCGGTATACGGCACCAGTGTACTTGTAGCCGGTCTTCTTCCACACCTTCAGCAACTCCTTCAGTTCCGCACGAACAGCAGCCAAGCGTGCAGCATCCGAGGCGCTTAGTGGAGTCTTGACATATTCCTCGTTTGGCCCAAGACATAACGGACCTTCCTTGGCCTTAAGAGCCTCACGCTCTTCCAGAAGCTCGTAGATGCGCTTGCGCTCGTCGTGGTGCTCGCAGGCCTCTGGACCCAGACTCACCATGACCCACAACACAGAGTCGTGCAGCATCTTGACGGCAGCCTTGGCATCAGCTGGCTCAAAGTAGCCCGGGAACGCCAGGATCTCCAGCAGCGTTGTATCGCCATCGGGAAACTCAAGCGTGCGGCGGAAAGTCTCGTACGTACCGACACCGAGGAAGAACAGATACGGCGCCATGTTCACCTTGTGGTTGTAATACTTCAGTACATGACGCGAGGGATCGTCCACGCTCAGTACTTCCGATGCTGGGTGGAACACAGGAACGCCAGTCTCTGTGTGATATCCAGGGGCCAGGTCTCCGTTCGTGATGATGTTAGTGTAGCGCTTGTCTGCCACAATGGTGGTGGTGTAGTAAGCTTTGGCATCCATTGTGTCTATGCATGGCACAATACGCTGGAAACCATGCTGCTGGCACTGGGTAATGATGGTCTTGGGAGCACCCTCAGGCGTGTAGTCAAAGTACAGACCCTCCAGAATGTTCTCAGTTGGGGTGGCCACTGACACAGTGCGGATCACGAACTCCTCCCCGGGCTGAATGGGCTTAGTGAACTTAACGACCAGAAAGTGGTCCTCCTTGTCCACCTCGAACTCAAGATCGCGGGGTTCCGCGAAGCTCTGCACGTGAGCAACGAAATTCTTCTCCTTACCCAAGGGCACGAACTTGTCGAAGCGTTCCGCTGACAGGATCGCCAGCTCCTTGGAGTTCAACTTCAGCTGTTCAAGCGGCTGCGCGCCGTCGTGTTTGAGCGTTGTTTGCAGCGTCACTTTGATCTTGGCTTCCGTGATATCAAACACCATGTCGAAGTGCAGCGGCTTGGTAGCCAGCGGCTGGAAGTCCTCGCGTGTAAAGCGATACTTCTTGGATGCGGGCGTAGTCATCTGGCCACAAGTTTTGGATCCTCCTTGCTTGTTCTCCCTGCGTGGCGGATTCCCGAATGACGAAAGTGTAATTTTTCGCTTCAAAGTGTACTTCCTAAAGCGATATCGCTTTGTAGAGGTACAAATGGGATCTTTTCGTGCGTGGCAAAAATGACCTGGTTTTATCCGTATCGTTCGTCGACAGGTTCGGATCTTGCACCAAGCTTGCTCATCATTTTGAGCTTCCATAGTGGTGTTCGCTTTCTGCTGGGAGGACCAGGGCTCCGAATATGGCATTTTTATTTAGTAGACAAAAACAACCGACATACATTACGCATCAACTCCTCAATGGCCCGCAAATAAATTATGGTGATGAAAGAAGACACCAAATAAATAACGGAGTAATGGAGGTCACTAACGAAGTGTACTGTATTGCATTAAGTACTCCATTAAAGGTCCGTACCGCATCAATTGATGCTATCGACAGTACTGGAATCCCAGTAGCAACGGTTCTCCCGAAGGAATAAGATCATCTCCAGTGTTGCAGGGAGCAACCCGTGCCTTTGTTGGCCGAACGTCACCCGAGCCACGCTGAAAAACCGTTCCATTACGTTGGATGTTGGTGGAATGGTTTTTAGCTGCTCGTAGGAGACACTGGGCTCCGCAAGACGGCGGCGCTTGCGAAGACGTTCGACGAACGAAAGAACGTCGTCGTCGGAGTCCTCATCCGTGTGCTCCGCCAGTCTTACGAACGGACCGAGGACAGTCTCCTCCGCGCGCGTTAGGCGGTCCTGTAGGCCCCTCAGAACACGGACACACCCTGACTCAAAGTCAGGGCTGTGAACAATTTCAGCTTGAGGTCCTGGTTACACATAATATACGATACGTTAGCTCTACAATAAAGAAATACTTAGCCTTAACGTACCGAGATATGTCGCAAACTTTGGTTTGAGAGCAATCAGCTCGTCGAACCACTGACGAACATCCAGGAGATCCGTATCGCGACCTTGAAGAGCCTTGGCGACGGATTCTACGTCCTTGAGCTCCTTAAATAAGGCTCGGAGCCTCTTGTTGGATGCGGGCGACGGCAACAGCTCCATAATGTCGTCGTCGTCTGCATCCAAGAATTCCAACAGCTCGAAATAGCGCTTTACCATGTCAAAAGATGAACTCCAGCGAGTCGTCTGGCGAATTACCAGCCGCAATTCAGTTTTTTGGCAAAAAAAAGATAAATTCGTTTTTAAAAAAGTCAGTACACAAATACAAAAATAATTTCGTACCGCAGTTTTGTAGACTGAGTGAGCGTCTTCAGCTTGATCATCAGCGCCTGTACCGCTGCTAGATCTTTTTCATGTTGAAGTAGGTAATGTTGCACTGCTCGGTTCAACCGGTGGCTAGCACACCCCACTAGCGGCACCCTCATGAGGGTAGCAAGCGAACGGTTGACGGAACAGTTGTCACCGACAACGAAGCGGCACTGGTCGATCTGGACACCGTAGTCCCTTGGCAACATCGTCGCCAGGAACTCGTAGTGCGACCTGGCGGAGAGATTATCGTCCGGCTCATTGATGAGTGGAGCCATAGCCAACAACGGGGTAACTAGTACCCCGTTGACCTCGTAGCACGCAAACCAGGCCACGTAATGCTCTGAAGCATGCGTCCACCCGTCGAACATAACTCCAAAGCGCGCGGGAAGCTCAGCAGCGATCTTCCGCTCGACCTCGCGTGTCACACCTTCCATACCCGCACGCAGCGTCTCCATGGAAATGGGGTCGAGGTTGGTGTACCTGTACATAGTAAAATACTCAGAATCAGAATCAGATAACATTAAAGCAACTGCATATCGTCTTGCCGTATGGTTTTCGCAGAATGCAAGCGGAAGGTTGGACTGCACAATCCACTCCATCCAACCATAGAGATTGATCGTCGAATGCCGAACAAAATTCATCAAGGAGCCCGTGTCGGCCGTTGTTGCGTCGAGCATCAACGGCCGACACGGGCTCCTTGATGAATTTTGACGGCCTCGCGGTCCGGGTGCTGCCTAAGTATGTGCTGCATAAGGTTAGTAAACCCGTTGCGGTTGGTTTGCTTGCGGACCGTGCCGCAACGACACCGGAAGTACTCGAAAACCACCTCGTCGTACTCGTCGCGGCACGGCCGAAAGTAGAAGCCCGAGATTTGAGCGTTGGTGAAGGCACTGGCGGGTCGGTTGGCGCGAACCATGGTCGTTGAGAGAGCGGCTGAGGGAAGGTGCGTTGTATCAATGGAAATTGAAAGTAGTTGACAAAGTGGAGAGTTTAGGAGCCGGTTGGTGGTCCGAGAATGACTGGCTGCTGTTAAAATTACTATATAAAAGTACCCTAATAAATGATGATATTATACTAATTGCAAAAAATCAATTATCACATGATCAAGTCAAGATTCTCAAAATACATAATTTACTAAGTATTGTGGTAAATAGTGTTATGGCAAATGTATATTTCGGAGGCCCTGGGGAGGACAATGGTCGCAGTATATTACTTTGAGATTGCCTTAGAGGTACACTGACTTGTGTCAACATTCAACTGGTAATACTTCATCAAATATTATTAATTGTGCTACACGGATGCTTGTACTTTTAGTAACGAATTCCCTATGTCAAGACATACACCATGAATTTAGCCATATTTACTGTCTTGCAAATCGAACTACAACCAACTCTTACTTTAAGAAAAACCAAGTAAGTCTATTTAGTGAATTGCCAGTCTCTATGCGTCACATTAGATGTATCTCTTGACATAGGAAATTCGGTACAGATAACGACGGCCGTAACAAAAAAAAAACGGAAGGCTAGCGTCCAGGTATCGTATTCTGGATTTTGATTAGCTCAAATCCCATTCAACTACGTACGAAGCAAATTGTTTTAGTGCTCGCTTCTAGCGAATATAACTAGACAAGATATTAAAACCACCCTAAACCATAATCGATGATAAACACAAAACCATGTGCTCTAAGCACATCGAAACATGAATATACACACTGGAGCGCTAAGTGATCACAAGAAAATTCAAGCAAGCATAAGAGAAATGTGCGTTAGCACAAATGATATTTTCCAACCAAACTACGCTATCTATTTCGAGACCTTTACCCTATGATATATCTCTGGTATATTAAATTGACTGGTTGACCTGGTTCTAGAGCTCGTTTGCTTCGAGTTCAGCTAACTTTAAAAAAAAATCTTCGCTGCCTAGAGCCTCCAAGAACTACTTTCGCGTCAACCTCCAACCTATCCTAATGCCAAGCCCTCGTCCGTGGAGCCTGCTTTGCAGCGACGTTACCGCTGAAGACGCATCCATGTTGCTGCAAGGAATGAAGGCGTGGGAGACAAATAAGTGCCAGCTGATGCCATGCACGTCTTGCAGCAAAAGCGCTCCGCACTCAGTGCGTTACAAGTTGCTACACGGCGCGTTCAAGCACTGCGCAAGTGCGGATCCCTACGAGTCGTGTCCCTGATAGCTGAAGGTGTTAGTCTGTCACACGACTGACAACGTGAGTATACACGTGTTGGGTGGCCACCGCGCACGGGTACGTACGCCATCGTGACCGTCAATTAATCCGGTGCAGCGCGAGTCTATCAAGGAGCTTGCGCGAGAGAATTTAATGCCTTTGCGCATTTGTGACGCTTTAGGGTGCAAGTTCGAGCTTCGACCTGCTGCTCGTTCCACCCTGTACTTGGTATAAAACATTGTGAAATATATCGTTGTACGCACCTAGGTGGAAACGACAAGTGTAAGCAGATCGTGGAAGCTGTGAGGCGTGCCGTCTTTACTGAATCAGAAGGGGACCGTGGCGCCTTCATCTCCACTGGCAACTACGATGCGTCCGGCGTTCTCAAGGTGGAAACGGATCGGGCCTGTCACTGTGGTATCGTGATTTACGAGTAATTACCGGAGTGGCTGCATTCAAGTTGCTCAATCCACGGATGCTCGGTCACGTGACAGGTGGTGACTACGGTACACGACAGCCAAGAATACGTCACTACCAAACGCTCGTCTGGTCCGACTATGACCAAGATGTCACTCAAGTCGGGTGGTCCGTATCG